GATATCCAAATCTTTCTGGTATGATTCCTCTGTGTATTCTTGCCACCTCTTCTTGATATCTTCTGCTTCTGTTAGGTCCCTACTCTTTTTGTCCTTTATCATGTCCATCTTTGCACAAAATGTTCCTTTAATATCTCCAATTTTCCTGAACAGATCTCAGGTTTTTCCTTTTCTATTATTTTCCTCTATTTTTTGCATTGTTCATTTAAGAAGGCCCTCTTGTCTCTCCTTGCTATTCTTTGGAAGTCTGCATTCAATTTTCTGTAACTTTTCCTACCTCCCTTGCATTTTATTTTCCCTTCTCTTCTCTGCTATTTGTAAGGCCTCCTTGGACAGAATCCACAACTATCTTGTCTCCTTCTATTTCATGTGATCTATGACACAGAGGGAAGTATATGATGTCTCTAACGTTCAGTGCAACAACCACAGAAGAAGAGCTATCTTTAAATTCAAGATGGGTTTTATTGGAGATTTTAAAAATTACTGTTTTTGACTATTTTTCCCAGAATTCCTGAGTGGAAGGTGTTGAGAGTTACAAGCCAAAAAGATTAATGTTTACAAGCTCTGCCTTTTGTCCAATGTAGCTATTATATTCAGAGCATACACAAAAGAAAGGCACTGCCTATTTTCACCAGACAAATGAGAATTGCCAAGGATCTCAATGTCAAATAAATCTACTCAGAAACGGATCCTACCAAACACAGTAGACGTATTCCTTTAAGGGTATGATTCAGATTGAAATTGGTATTTGCCCAGTCCTGATCCTGCCAGCTTGCACTTATTTCTGGGTTCTTGCAAGAGAAATTATCCAGGATGATGTCTGACGTGATTGCCCAGAACTACTTAGGTGTTTTATAACTCAGACAATTTTCACTTTCTGAAAATGTTCTTACCAGACATCAATCGTAAATCTCATCTGCAGACATACGGTCTATTTTGATCCATACAGCTGGCCTCTACCTTCAAGAATCCCCAGTCCAGTTTTCCAGTCCTTCTGTGTGAACCATGAAGTGTTCTTCTCTCCTTGTTTTCTCCTGCTCTCACATTGCTTCAAATTTCCCCTTCAAATCAATTTTCTGACCTGAAAACATTCCACTTTTCCATAACAGGTTTCTATTTCAGCTACCGAGAGAGTGCCCAGGCCAATTTTGCTCATACAAGAAGCTCTTTATATCCCAGTTTGACCCCATTAGATGGTGACGTTATTAAGTCAGGCAGTATTGGTGAGATGAGAGGAGGGAAATGATGTAGGTAACTACCAACGCACAGCCAAAGACTGTCCCATGACCACTACACACAACTGTTTTAACAGTCTTTTATGACACCGCCCCCCAAAAAAAACCTGACACCACAAACTAATCCTTCCTGCTTGCCCAGAGGGATGATGAGATGAGATGGCTGAAGATGTTTTTACTTGTTTGTTCTAGACAATCCAATTAGTAGGTAGATGCACAGATCATTCTGAAATAGCTACATCCAAACCTCCTCTCAAGGATTCAAAAGAAATTATCTTTTAAGGTAATGAAACCAAGGAGCAAGTTTTGGTGACAAAGCAATAAAGGAGGAACAATATAAATTCACTGGTAGAGTATTTGCTCTACAGACCAAAGTCTTGGGTTCAATTTGTGGCAACTCCTAGTAAGGCAGGGGGAGAACCTGGTCTCAAACTCCAGAGAGCTGCTACTGCTACTACATGTAGATTATACCATGATAAATGGACTAACAATCCAATTTAGTATATAACGGGGGTTTTATTAAATGTTAGAAGGTACATTAAAATGGAGCAAATTATGTAAAATGCAATAGGCACAGAGCTATTTTGGGGTAGGAAATAGAGAATATGTCGTCAAAAAAAAGCCCCCTCCCATCAAAACCCATAGCTCTACTACCGTCACATCAGCCAACAAGATAAAAGTCAACATACAGTGGCGTCTTGACTTGAGAACTTAATCCATATTGGAAGGCAGTTCTCAAGTCAAAAAGTCGGTAAGTCAAGTCGCCATTGACCTACAGTGCATTGAAAACCGATTAACCCCGTAACAGGCTGTTTTTGTTCCATTTTGGTTTTTTTCTGGTCTGTAAGTCAAATCTCAGTCTGCAAGTCAAACCTAAATTTTGCGGCCAGAGAAGTCTGTAACTCAAAAAGTCTGTAAATCAAGCCGTCTGTAAGTCAAGGGTCCACTGTACATATTATTGTCAGGTCATCCACAGCAAAAAGGTAATAGCAGTACAAACTGCTACTACAAACAGTGAAGGTTCCAGCTATGGACATCCTCCTCCAACTGCAGAAAGAGTCACTGAGAATATCCTATGACTTCTCTGACATCCTCACAGGGGCTGTATAGTCCATCCTCAATTCATTTAATATAATTTATTTCACATACAGTAATTTGGCCCCGCTGCATTTCAGACACACTCTTGATCTGCATTGGCAAAACAAGGCAAAACTACATTTCCTGTGCTCTATATTAAGTGATTTAAAGTACTGCTTCATCTTATCAGTGTACTTAACAAACAATGTATTCAAATGTTCGGGATGGGCAACCTACACTTTAGCATTTTTGAAGTCAACTCTGCAATAGTTTTGTTCAATTTTTAAAAAGCCAAAGGGATACCAGAATTACTTTTACTTTAATAAATAAGTATTGGGCTGTTAGTTTCTCCCCAACAAAACAAGCAACCTTGATGCTCAAAAAGAGCATACTGCAGAGAGAAGCAAAACGGAACTGCTGATGACTGATTTCAAATCTAGAGAAAATGACTGCAATTTGAGCTGACATACACTCAGTTTTGCTGTTACTTACAGCCCATGGAGTTATTTTAAAATCACAGCAATTTACTTCTGGTAGTTTTTTTGTATTTTAGCTATGCTCAGTGCTCTCATACTATGCACACGAGAACCACAAAAGAAACCTATTTTGACAGCTATATTGATCAGAAATGGGAAGTACATATTTAAAAAAACTGGAACTGAAAACAGGGCGGAGACAGAGTATCAGTATAGGAACAAAAGAGAAGGTGAAACTTGCAACAGTGAACAGCAAACAATCACTTTATTAAACTACACAATATTTTGTGTCAGTGATCTAAAACAAAACTAAATTGGCTTTCACTCTTTTGTACCGGAGCTTCCTTCAGCAGAACACAAGGTAGCAAGTGTCTGTTGAAATCTGTTAGTTCCAACTAGAGTAGACCAGATGAATCAAGAGAACTTATTTATTAGCTATATCAAGACCTTGTGGATTCAGAGAGTTTATTCTAGTTAGGTTGAAGAACAGGATCTAGGCCATAAGGTTTCCATCCCACCTGGCAACAGAGGAGGAGGGATAGCAAATTGCACCTCATTCTACATAACTAGGGAGGCATCCACACATTATACCCCCCTCAAGGAAACACCCTTGTGGCACTAATCTCCAGAATGTCCCAACCATGGCCCTCTCCCCTTACATCAAAGGCCACAAAAATACAGCCAGAATATTGGGATTCAACCATCAGCACCCTACCCAACCTCTTGCTCCAAGAAGATCTATTTAAGCATTCTGGGGGAAAGGTAATACGAACACATGAAAATGAAGAGACTGTTCTAGCATTACCCTCTTCAATCACAATCTCCATGCAGAGAAGGATGCAAAAAGGAAAACCTCTGCAACATGTAAAGTCTCCCCACATGGTTCAGAATCCTGAAGGATTGAGCCTTATTCTGTCATTAGGCAGCATGTTTGTCCAGCATAGGAAGGAGGGGAGTCAGGCTAACTCCATCCCTTCATTTATTATCCTACTCATGCAGAAGCAACAGATTGGGAGGAGGGAAGCTTCACAAATGGATGGAGAGGTTCTACGCAAAGCTATGTGAAGTTTTTTATCTTTAGACTATCCCTCTCTGTGTTGAAACAACAGACTTGGATGCGTGAATAGACTTAGATCATTGGTGCACAAACTGGGAGAGGGGGAAGAGTTCTAGAGGTCTGTGTAACTGCTGGATTTTCCCAAAGGGGAAAAAAAAGCCTTTTATTGCCTTAAATTTCCATTACTGATATCAATATTAAAAATTTTGCACAAAACACAATTTCTGTCTTTTTAAATTTTTTATTATTAGGTTTCTATGGTTTTTTATTCAAATTTTCTGTTACAACGTGCAACTTTTGTGCTGCAACTAAATAGAAGAAAGGAAACTGTATGTGAACCTGTGTGGATCAATCAGAGAAGACTTATACAGCTCCACCTCTCATGTTTGCCTTTTGTTAACAGTAAAATTACTGCCCATAATTCTATTGCTTATGAGGGCAGATAAAGGCAGTCATACAAGCGATGGGAGGCTTTTTGGTTGCTTCCTGTTGCACGCCCATGCAACCCACAACAGGTAGAGTGAAAGTTACTTGTGCGACTGATCTTGTCTTTGCACTTTTCTGCGACAGAATTTTGGCCATTACTTTTGTGTTAAACAGGAAGGCAAGCATATTGCTTATCTAATTGTCAGAAAATAATGTCAAAATGCTATGTTTAGATCAGATACATCCATTTGCTTATTCCCCGACACAAACATAACGAGGTGAACTCTAGTGTGTTGCCTTCAAGCTCTGAGTCTTTTGCTGTTGGTTGTGGCATTTTATGGCTGTATTATTTCTTACTATTAAGTGGACTGGGGGAAAACCATATACAACTGAGTATCTTGTCCCGTTTGGCCAAAAAGGCTAAGGAATGCTTACCAACAAGAAAGCTCTCACAGCTGGGATCTTGTTCAGTTCCATTAGAAGCCTGAGTGCTTTTTCATGGTTGCTGCAATATTCCTCATACACAAAGAACTTGTCTTTCTGCAAGGATTTTGAGAGAGGGGACGGGAGAGGAGAGAGGGAGAAAGAGAGGAGCATCAGTATTAACGACGGGGACTCCATTGAACTTTAGTTTTCACTTTACAGCAAAGTATGGTAAACTATGATAAATCAAAAACATGGTTTGAACAGATGAAGAGAAAGAAAAAATGAAATTGCATGCTGGATTAAACATATACCATGTTTTTGGCAGAGCAAGGGATATTTTTTATGATTACTACAATTCCCAGGATACCCCAATCCTCCAATGCTGTCCAACAAAGTCCAAGAATGTTCCCAAACTCTGTTATTGGGCCTATAGCTGTGATGAACAGAAGTTCTCTATAACAAGAAAGAAAGAGAAGTATTCTAGCTTCCAAGCTAAACTCTCTTCTTTCTATTTACTGTACTAAAGTAAAAAAATATGCATCACCTAATGCATTTTCTTTTCTATGTCACAATTCCAGTTAGATAGCAGATTTATTTCCCACTGAATACAGATCAGACATTGTAGGCTCACTGCAGAATGTGAGTCATTGGCAGAACACCACAAAATATTCTTTAGAGTAGCAGGAAACCTGCATGTGCGTGTCAGAATCAAACGGACAAGTGGTAAAATGTTTTTTTCATGGTGGATTGAGATGAACCAGATAGCTACCAATCACACAAGGAGTATTTCAGCATGGTATAAACAGAAAAACTGAGAGGTTGTCCTATGTTCTTAATATCCATGGAGCTCCTTATCATCTGGCATATTAGAGACCGATCCGCATCTTCTTCATCTATCGCAGCTTTTAAATGTCTCTTTGTATCTAATGAGTAGTAGAGACAATTGTTTGGGGTCAATTTCTTTTCAAGAAAGCTATGGGAAGAGTTGCTTCAAAACAGGGCCAAACTATATATTACACATAATATCTCAGTAGTAGCTGAAATCATGCTAGGTGGTCTAGAGGTGTGATTCCAACAGACCTTTCTTTTTTAAAAAACCAGTCTTGGAAACCATGCCACAAAACAAAGTAAGCTAATTTGCACATTGAAGGAGGTGTGAATAGCACCTTTTATGACAATCAGATATACTTAAGCATTTAATAAATTCTTTCTTCTAATTTCATGTTCTCTGTAATATACATTACATTACACTTGACTTTTAGGAGGCAACTGGAGCAGATAGATCTCAATAAAAGTCCAGTCTCTATAAGATTTATTTTACAGGTTTAGTTAATGCAATGTGATAACCTACAACAGTACATCCAGGGAGCTGATGTAAGGACAAAACCAACAAAAAAGGAAAGCATTTTTAAAATTATAAATGCCGTCCAATAATAAAATAATAAACAGTAGGAACCAGTAAGCCACAAACAATCCTTATAGACCTGAAGAATCTGGACCAAATAATTGTACCTGTATGATAACAATCAGCAGTCCCTAACAATTGTGTATTATTATGTGAATTGTGTATTATTGTGTAAATATAGTATTGCATTTATACTGTTGGACCAGAACTCAGAAGATATGGATTTAAATTGTTACTTAGTCATAAAACTCACTAGGTGGCTCTAGGCTAGTTTTGGGGAAGTTCTTGGGTGGGGCCTTTTGTCAATCAACCAAAATGTTCACGTTATGCAAAAGTTCTTTATTAGTAAAATCAATGCACTAAGTCCAGCTCAGTATTGAATGAAATGGCACCTATCAAGTACACATCCATTCCATATATAGGCATGATACATAATCATCTCACATAGGATCACCAATCCTAATCATAATAACAAACACCAATCATAACCCAGGTATCTATGATTTAAAAATATGTTAAGTTCATCACCACTTCCTGATACTTGGGCATGCTGGCTGAGGTTGTTGGCCATTACAACCTAATAATATCCAGGAATATAAGAAAGCCTTGGCTCAAACGAGGGTACAACCTCACCAGGTACCCAGGTCTGTGTACAATCAAGTCACAGAATCTTCATCCAACACAGAACTGAATTGGTGCATGTGGCATTGGTTGTAGAAAACTGATGAGTCATATAAAGCTTCTGGATTGGTCAGAGGTAGTATAAGTGCAACAACATGTTGTATTCCATGTGTTCAGTGCTAGGATTTTTGCTGTAGCCTGGTCCATTGTCATACTGGTTCAGCTAATCTCCAGACCCAAAAATCAGCTTCAGACACTCCAGCCTGGAGAACACACTGTAGGCTAGGACCTGGCATAGATGCCTATGGCTCTGACTCAGCCTTGACATTTGTTCAACTATGGACAGCTCCAGCTGTAAATACTGTAAAGCCTGTGTGACGATTGCCCCACGTCACTCCTATCACTCATGTTCAGGATCCTATTTGCATGAGCCTATGAGAGGAGTGGAGGGGAGGAGTCAGGGGATATAAGAAGGTTTGGCAGAAGAGATGAAAGGGGAGACAGAGAATTTGCAGAGACAGAGAGAGACAGGTAGTCAGGGAGATTGTGAGAACAGATACTAATAGAGATAAGCTGGTCAATATAAATGGATAGAGCAAGTGGTGATTAGTTATATGGCAAGATATATGACATTTTAATGATTTGATAGTATGCATTAATAAAGAACATCTGTGATTCTGAGTAAATTTAATATTTCAATAAATAAGTTCCTGTTGGCAGTAACCAGACAAGTGTCTGACTAAAGTTCTTTATATATTATGGATAAAGGAAATCCACTAGTGGCAGTGAGGAAAAGAGGGAACATCACAATTGGTATCTGTTGGTGGGATGACATAGTGTGAGCCCTTTGCTTGGGGAAACAAGCAGGAGCCACGTGCTAAACGTCACACCCCGGGTAAAGGGCCTCCGACAAATAGCCCTTGTTGAAAGATTTAGGTCTCATTTCCATTTCAGGTTCTCACCGTACACTCCAAATACTATGTCTTGGACAGTGTGTAGGAAATCAAAATAGTAGCTAGGCTAGGCTAAGACGGGGCTGGTAGATTTTGGCAGTCGGCTCTACTGGGTGTGCTGGGTGATGATGCCAACCCTGAGTTTAGCAATACAGATCCATCTAATCCAGGCTTACCCAAACTAGAGGCCTCAAATGTGTCAGGCAACAACTCATAATCTCTTCAGTTAACATGCCCATTGGCCAGAGAATGGCTGCAGTTTAGTGTTAACAGCTCTGGAGTCTCCCAGGAAGAAAGCTGCTCTAGTTTTCTACTTTCAGGTTAATTATCACTGAACTTGCAGGTTCCACCTGCCTATCATGACTGAGAAGTACTGACAGAGTGCTTCTAAGAACATGCCAGTTCTCCTTTTAAATCCAGTAGTCATTACAACTTGTGGTTATCAGATGGAAAAGTCACTTCTTGGACCCATAATTTCCAGAATACTCCCGCCCAGCATGGCAATGACTATGCTGTCTGGGATATTTTGGAGGTTATATTCCAAAAAAGTAATTTCCCCCAATCTCTGAAGATTCCTTTGTGTTAATTACCTGTTGTCTGATGCTCATTATAAGAAAATAATTCCCATGAACTATGAATTTCCCTCCAGCTACTTAATGGAAGCAAATTGCTGTCTTCAAAGAAGAGCACTGGATTCGACTAAAGCCAGCTGCTAGACAAACTGGAGGCTATTAAAGGGATGCCTTCATTGTCTCTAATGGCTGTGCTCACTATAATGTGTTTTGCTTTCCTATTTATCATTACATGTAGTGTTATCCAAATATAACAATAGTGACAAAGCCAGCAGTCACAGAAAGAGGAAGGAAAGGTGCTAGGAAGCAGCTAGCTAGTGGGTTTATCTTTTATTGTGCTACACATCTGGAGTTGCAGCTGCTTCTGTTTAATGAACAGAAGCTTGAAATACTATAAAGACAAATGCTTATGGCCACCAGATGCAGGAAATCGTACAACTAGGGAGGTGATGCGAAGAGCATAGGACATCTTTTGTTCTCAGAAGCACACATGAAGGGAAATGGGGAGTTATCACAACTCAAGGGGTTAAGAGAGCTTGTTTGTCCGAAGGGTGAGGGTTCGACTTCCTACAGAGAAGGAAAATGGAAGCTGGGTATGATGAAAAAATACAGCAATGGCCCCAAAAGGATCAAGCACCACCTCTGCTATTAACTTGTCTGTGTTTTAAAATCATCAAGGGGGGTACTTTTCTTTACTGTGTTTATCAATGAAAGACATCTGACCTACAAAAAAATGAAAGGACATCCTCTGTGGTGGACTTCTGGCTATCAAATCCCTTTCTTTGGAACATGGTAACACTTTGCATTATTTTTGACACTAAATTCAAGCCCAACTTTTGTTCAATAATTTTGAATTAATAGACAAAATGCGTCCATTATGGGTAAAATTTGGACAGAACTTGCCACCAGAAAGCTGGCACCAATACTAGTTGAAATAGTTTATATAGTCTCTCAATTTTACTGTATTTTGGTTTAAATTTTACATAGAACATACAGTGATTTTTGCATCACACTAAAATCTCTTTTGGTGGCCTTGGCTGCCAGATGGGCAGTATAGAAATCAAATAAATAAATTTTGGATTAAATCACACATCTGTATTTTAACACAATCAATCAATCAATCATTAAATTAACTTTATTAAGATGTGTCTTCAAACATGTTAAATGTTACTGACAACTGAAATGTTACTGAGTACTAACATCCAGCTGCAAGTCAAGAAGGTTAGCAGAAATCAGAGGCAATGCTTCACTGTTGTTGGTGTTGTTTTGTTGTTGTTGTTGTTGTTGTTGTTGTTGTTGTGTGCCGTCAGGTCACCTCTGACCTATGGCAACCCTATGAATGACCGGATCTCCAAAAAGTCCTGTTCTCAACTGCCCTACTCATCTCTTGTAAATTCCAGCCTGTGGGTTACTTTAGGGAGTCAGTTCATTTCATATTTGGGTGTCCTACTCATCTCTTGTAAACTCCAGCCTGTGGGTTACTTTGGGGCAGGCTTGTCCAACTTGCGGCCCGAGGGTTGCATCACACTAAAATCTCTTTTGGTGGCCTTGGCTGCCAGATGGGCAGTATAGAAATCAAATAAATAAATTTTGGGTTAAATCACACATCTGTATTTTACCACAATCAATCAATCAATCATTAAATTAACTTTATTAAGATGTGTCTTCAAACATGTTAAATGTTACTGACAACTGCAATGTTACTGAGTACTAACATCCAGCTGCAAGTCAAGAAGGTTAGCAGAAATCAGAGGCAATGCTTCACTGTTGTTGGTGTTGTTTTGTTGTTGTTGTTGTTGTTGTTGTTGTTGTTGTGTGCCGTCAGGTCACCTCTGACCTATGGCAACCCTATGAATGACCGGATCTCCAAAAAGTCCTGTTCTCAACTGCCCTACTCATCTCTTGTAAATTCCAGCCTGTGGGTTACTTTAGGGAGTCAGTTCATTTCATATTTGGTCTTCCTCTTTTCTTGCTGCCTTCCACCTTTCCCAGCACTGTTGTCTTTTCCAGAGAATCCTGCCTTCTCACCGTGTGCTTAAAGTAGGACAGCCTCAGTGTCAACATTTTTGCCTCCAAAGATAGTTCAGGCTTGATTTGATCTAGAATCTGCTTATTGGTCTTTCTGGCAGCCCAGGGTATTCAAAGAGCTCTCCTCCAGCACCACATTTCAAAATGAATCAATTTTTTCCTGTTTTTCTTACTGTCCCGTTTTCACACTTAAATATAGTGATTGGAAATACAATAGTGTGGATGATCTTGCTCTTGGTTTCCAATGACACATTTTTACACTTGATAATCTTTCTGTCATTGCTGTTCTTCTGAGTCTCAGTATTGTTCAAATGAATCAGTCATTTCAAATGAATCAATATTTTCCTGTTTTTCTTACTGTCCCTTTTTCACACTTAAATATAGTGATTGCAAATACAATAGTGTGGATGATCTTGCTCTTGGTTTCCAATGACACATTTTTACACTTGATAATCTTTCTGTCATTGCTGTTCTTCTGAGTCTCAGTATTGTTCAAATGAATCAGTCATTTCAAATGAACATTCTGTGATTCTATCTACAATACACAGGAACATGAGGCTGCCTGAATTTGCCTAGTGTGTGAATGCTGCAGGCTCATTCAGCAATTCTGTGCATCTGTAAGTTAAACACATCTACATTCTGTTGGGTGCAGTATGTTCACAGCAGAGTTACAAATGACTACAATAGTTACTTGTAATTAATTCCTTGTCCCAGCGACAAGCTATAATTACATTACATTAGGATTGCAACTTAATTCAAAATGCAATTTCAGTGCTTTTGTTAACAATAACATTCTAGTTGGTTTCACAGTTACAGAATGAGGCCTCAATATATCACAGAGGAGAAATACTGTATGGTTTAAACCAGACTTGTCCAACCTGCGGCCCAAGGGCCGCATGCGGCCCAGGTCTTTCAGACCGCGAACTACATAGTTAATAGAATTTGGTCTTCAGTCATAGAACATACCCCATATTTCATGGCAAAGAACCTTACCTGCAACATATGAGAGTGTTTGGATGCAGTGCTGGGTGCACATTCCAAAGGAAACAAGAAGGAAAGGGAGACCAAAAGCCAAGAAAATGAGGTTTCTGGGGTATGAAAAAGGGTCTAAAGCAGGCTTGTCCAACCTGCGGCCCAGGTCGACTTGTAATGTGGCCCAGTGCAATTTTTTATTTTTTATTTTTAAAGAAATTCCAAAGTTTCAAGTTACACTGCCGGTACTTGTGGCTGGAATGTGGCCAGGGCACATCACAACGGTAGGGAGGTAGAGAGGGAAGGAAGGAAGGAGCAGCAGGGGAGGGGAGAAGGGGGCTGCGTGACTGCATTGTGCCATCCCTGTCAATAGGTAGATCCCCTTCTGGCCCCATAAAGCCACCGGAGTCGAAGCTGGCAGCCTCTGCTATCTGAGATGGCAGCTGCTGGTAAGCATGCTTGGAGAGGGGCTGCGGAGGACGGCTAGGGCTGCCCCCCATGCGGCCCAAACCAAATGTATGTGCGGCCCAAACCAAATTTTCATCTTCTAATGTGGCCCAGGGAAAGTGAAAGGTTGGACACCCCTGCATTAGACCAAAGTCACAGAGACGTTCAGCTCACTTTCATGAAATAGGACGTGTGCTTTGGGAGTGAATTTTTTACTACAGGGTAACAACTTTCTATAGTCGAAGTAACTATTCTAATTACTTTTGAACAGTTATAAAATAAAAAGTTTCATTTTACAAAAAGTTCTATTTTACATCCCTCTTAGGATGCTCCACTTTGGTGGCTGAGGGGAACAAATGCTCACACATAACATGCCTCTAGTGTGATCCACACCATGCCCAAAATGGCCAGAAGTGGAGGTACAAACCGGGTTTGTTGGCCTTTGGCAACAGCCCCCTTACCTGTCTATCCATAGAGCAATAGCCATCAATCCTGCAGATGTCCAGGAGCAGAAAACATGTCCTTCCTCAAAGAAGATATTTTTATTGTTGTTGTTGTTTTTTAAAAAATTACAATGTGACTGTGGAACATATGAAGGCTGTATGTCACAATTTCCCTGCCCTGCTGCGGTGGTAACTGATGACTATAACTGCAACTAATGGAATCTTTAAATATCTCTTGTGCAAATAAATGTTAGGAATGGGGCTCCAGTCACACATGTTGCCATCCATGAGTAAAAAAGTGAAAAGGAAGAGGAGATTAAGTGACCTGGATTATGGCCAATAGTCATGATCACATAACAGAAACTGGAGGAAATGGAGAACCTTATGCACGATGTCTTCATGCATGAGCTAGATGAGATTCTGCTTATGCAGAATCTTTGGGCACACATAAACTGCATGCATGCACAATCCAACTACCCTCCATGCATGCATATCTACATACATGACAGATAAATAGTTACCTCAGTTTTTCACAGGGCTCTTCGTTTACTTTTTTTACCTTCTAAAACACCAATATTCCATGGGACTGTTCTCTACAACAGCGACAATGAATTCCTCAGAGCAAACATAATATTCTCCACCATGTGAAAGTGACACGCTTAAAACATTCACACTCAGTTGTACTTGATATGCTCTACAACATTTTCCAGCCACAGTCACCAAATCTGCACACAGTTTATGCTGAGATCATGTAGAGGTTTGGGGCTGCTTCAAGAGCAGGCCAGAAGAAATATGTTATCAAAAAGACATATTTTCCAAAACACATGTTGATTTATCATACTCACAAATTTTAAGAAAACATCTCCTAGTTCATGCTGAGACTGAGGTTCCGGTTGTAAACAATACTCCAGAGCAGCGAGAAAGTCCTTGTGGACATCAAGTATGTCTTCTATGTTGGAAAATAAAATCTGTAACATAAAGAAGTCCAAAGTAATAAGTAGCAAGGAAAAACATCTGACTTTAGAATGCCATCTATACATCCATATAGAAAAAAAGGTTACTTACCTGTAACCATAGTTCTTTGAGTGGTCCTCTGTGAATTCACACATATGGGTATTGTCTGCGCCTGCGCTGACTCTCTCAGAAGATTCTAGAGCTAAAAGTAACAATTTTATGGCGTGATCCTCCACGAGGTATATGCTCCTCCCACCCACCATCTTCCCAAGTTCCTGAATTTTATCCACCGGGTATGAAGGAAAGAATTAATTAATTACATAATCAACCCTTGACGGATAGAGGGGAAGGATGGGCGGGTTGTGTGAATTCACATAGGACCACTCAAAGAACTATGATTACAGGTAAGTAACCTCTTTTTCTTTTTTCGTGGCCTCTGTGAATGCACACATATGGGTGACCAGCAAGCTGCACTTACCATTTGGTGGGTCGGCACGGTAAGAAGGATGACAGGACAGCTCTGCCAAATGCAGCATCTTGGCGTGCTCTGACGTCCAGCCGGTAGTGTTTGACAAACATGGACGGTGTGGACCACGTAGCGGAACGACAGATGTCAGGAACCTCGGTGCTATGTTGAAAGGCAGTAGAGGTGGACAGTGCCCTGGTGGAATGAGCTGTCAAATGTTCTGGAGAGGATTTCCCCGACAAGTTGTAGGCAAGGGAGATAATCTGTACAATCCAGCGTGCTATGGTTTGAGAGAAGGCTGGGGCCCCTTTGTTCGGGCCGTGAAAGCAAAGAAAAAGTTTACTGGACTTTCTGAAAGTTTTTGTTCTTTCGATGTAGAAGGCCAGGGCACGTCTGACATCAAGGTTATGGAGCATATGTTCCAGGGACGAGGAAGGAGATTTGAAGAAGCAAGGTAGTATGATGAGTTGATTGAGGTGGAAGTCGGAGACCACCTCCAGGAGAAAGGAAACGTCAAAGTAAAGAGTCACTTTATAGGGGTGAAACTGGATAAAGGGAGGATCGGCTCGGAGAGCAGAGAGCTCACTAGCTCGTTTGGCTGACGTGATTGCAACTAGGAAGGCCGATTTAAGGGTCAGGAATTTGAGGTCGATGGACACCATGGGCTCGAATGGAGGCCACATCAAGGCATTAAGAACCAGCTGCAGTGATCACTGAGGGGAGGTGATGCGCTGTTGATGAGGGCGAATGTTGTTGAGCCCTTTGAGGAACTTCTTGACAGTTGGGTGAGAAAACAACTTGTTGCGAGAATCATCCAGCTGATGGGCCATAATAGCTGATAGGTAGACCTTTAGTGTGGACTGAGAAAGGCCGAAACTGAAGAGATGCAGGTAAGCGAGTAGGGTCTTCAAAGAGACAGGTATAGCAGGTAAGTCATTGTCATGAGTATACTTTAGAAAAGACTTCCATTTATTTTCATATAGGAGAGTAGTGGAAGGTTTTCGGGCTCGAAGAATAACCTGCATCACATCGGGAGTATCCTCCAAGCTGCAAGAGTGAGAGAGGCAACGTTGGGGTGAAGAACGAGGCTGTGGTCAAGCGAGAGGAGATCTGGGCAGAGAGGAAGGCGGAGCACATCCGACGACATCAAGACTAGGTGAGTGAACCATGGCTGGCGCGGCCAGTATGGGGCTATCAGGATTGCGTTGGCTCCGTCCTGTTGGAGACGGACGATTACCCTCTGGCTGAGAGGCAGAGGGGAAAATATGTAAAGGAGATCTTAGGACCAGTCCATCAGTAATGCGTCTCCCAGAAAGGCGCTGTCCCGTCCCACTCTGGAGCAGAATCGGGGACATTTCTTGTTGGCATCGGATGGAAAGAGGTCCATCGAAGGCACGCCCCATCGTCGGCACAGCTGCTGAAAAATGACATCATTCAAAGCCCATTCGTGTGTTCTCGTTGGTAGCCGACTGAGCCGGTCTGCCAAGGTGTTGTTGTCAGTGGAAATGTGGACGGCAATAGGGAAAACATGTTTGGAATAGCACCACTCCCAGAGGTCGACAGCTAGGTAGAGCAGAGAAGGGGAGTGGGTGCCTCCTTGCTTGTTGACATAAAAGAGTGCAGTGGTGTTGTCTGTTGCCAACTGCACTACCTGTCCTTGGACTAGAGGGAGAAAGGCATGGAACGCTTTGATGATAGCCAACAGTTCTAGATGGTTTATGTGAAGTGGTATCTCTTGTGTTGACCAGAGTCCATGGACTGTGTGCTGAAGGCAGTGGGCATCCCATCCCGTGGGGCTGGTGTCGGTTGTGACCTGTATGGAAGGAGAGAAAGACCTGCCGATGAGGAGGTTGTCTGGGGAAGTCCACCAGTCAAGCTGGGAGGCTAGTTCTGGTGTCACCGGCAGTAGAGCAGATGGAGGATCTGTGATTGGATTGAAGAGGGAAAGAAACCATGCCTGCAGGGACCTCATTTTGAGCCTGGCATGTTGGACGACGGCCATCGTCAATGCCATGAGGCTTAGGAGGTGTTGGGCGTGATGCGCCGAAACGGAGTGATGCGTCTGGAAAAGGCAGACAGCTTTTTGAATTTTTCTGATTCTGTCTGGAGGCAGAAACGCTCTTGCACGGAGGGAGTCTACCTCCATGCCTATGAACTTTGCCATTTGTTTTGGGATCAAGTGTGACTATTCGAGGTTGATCATGAGACTGAGACTTTGAAGTGTATGGAGGGTTGTGTCTCGTGCTTTTATGGCATCGTGATACGATGTCGCCATTATCAACCAGTCGTCGATGTAGGGATCAATGTTTATTCCCTGCAGGCGGAGGAAGGCGGCTACCGGTGCCAAGCACTTGGTGAAAGTCCGGGGGCGGTAGAGAGCCTGAATGGGAGGGCAGAGAATTGGAAGGCGGTGCTGTTGAAATGAAACCTGAGGAATTTTTGGTGATCCGGATGAATGGAGACGTGGAAACAGGCGTCCTGCAGGTCGATATTATGAACCAATTTCCCTGCGAAAGCAAAGGGATAATAGAGTCCAGTGTAAGCATTCGGAATTTACGGGGAGATATGAAACGGTTGAGGTGAGTGAGGTCAAGGATGAGGCAGAGGCCTCCATCTTTTTTAGGAACAGTAAAGTATTTAGAGTAAAAACCATTGAGGGAGTCCGAAGTAGGGACCGGTAAAATGGCGTGTTTCTGGAGAAGCTTGGTAACCTCGTCCTGCAGAGCAGAGGAGTAGGGGGTGTACCGAATGAACCCCAAGGGAGGCAAGTCGGAGAATTCTATGAGGTAGCCAGACGCTATAATGGATAGAACCCATTTGTCTGACATAATGGCTTGCCAACGATGGAAAAATGGGGCCAGTCTGGTACAGTTCAGAGGGCGAAGAGAAATGTCAGGAAAGGAAGGCAAAGGTAGTTGTCAATATTGCTTACCCTTTCACTGTCCTTTACGAAAGGATTGACGTTGACGAGGTAGGCTTTGAGGCCTGTGATATGCCATCAGAGGTTGAGGGGCAGGTAGGGACCTGTCGGTTTGATGGGGGTGATACTGTCTGTAAGGCTGGAACCTTTGATTTTGGTATTGCTTGGGGTGAAACTGACCCGTGCGGTAGAAGGGTTGTTGATAGGAGGTAGATGGCTAAGCAGAATAAGAGCGCGCAGTCTTGCGCTTCTTATGGAAGTCCTCCATGGTATCGTCGGTTGTAGAATTGAACAGGCCGGCACCATCAAATGGCAAGTCCTCAATTCTTGACTTGGTGTCATCAGATATTGTGGAGGATTTGAGCCAGGCATGGCGTTGAATAGAAATAGAGGTAACCAGAGTCTTAGTAGCGGCCTTAGCGGAGTGTCGCGCCGCAATCCTCTGGTACTTAGCCAGAGAAATGGCTTGTGAATGGATGATGATGAGATCAGATCTCATGGGTTCAGGGGCTGAATCAATAAGAGGAAGGACTTGGTTCAAAAGATGACATTGAAAAGCACCCATAGTTGCCTGGTAGCTAATACTTCTGAGCAAAAAAGCTTGCAGAGAGTAAACTCGTTTCGCCAATGTGTCAACTTTTCTGCCGTCTTTATTGGCAAGGGTAGGTTTGGACCTGGCATGGGTTTGGGCCTGACTGGACTCGACGATGATAGAGTTAGGCACTGGATGTTTATTGAGGAATTCGGCATCAACACCGTGGGTCCTATAGAGGCCATCGGTGCGGCGGGAGATCTGCATAGTGGAAGGGGTTTTTCCCCAAGTGTCTTTAATAAGTTGAAGGATAGACTTGTTAAAGGGAAGACTCAAAGAAACGGGACGCTCCTGGTTGATGTCGTCCAACACCGGGTCGGCATCAGCAGACAGGGGCTGTTCGGTATCGAGGTGCAGGGCTTGTGCCATTTGGAAAATAAGAGTAGAATATGAAGAAAAGTCATCCGAAGAGGACAAAGCGTGGCTATCCTTTGTATCTGGAAGTGGAGGAGGAAGCTCGGGCTCATGGGAGGACTCAGAGTGTTGTGCCTCCGAAGATGCAGGGGAGCCTGGAGATGAAGGGTGTCGTTGGGTTGGCAGGACCTCAAAAGGGTCTAGAAATGGCATCGGGTCCGGCATCGAGGGTGTGGGACGTAGGGATAAAGCTTTGTGAGCTTTGTCTCGCATCTGAGGTAGTGAAGTTGGCTTAGATGGGGAAGGAAGGCGTACGGATGAAGCCGAAACTGCCGGGGCAGAAGTGGACGCGCGGAGCTGGTTCGGGTCCATGAAGGGGATGGCATGAGAGAGTTCCGGTGTCGTTTGAGGCCATTTATCCTGGTCAGGCTGGTACCTTTCGTATAGGGTTTGCCAGATGTACGGGTCAAAACAATGGTATGGTACCATTGGAAAGGGGCAGAAATCGCCTTGCGACGCCACGGACCTCAGTGGAGAGAGGTGCTTTCGTTTTTCCATTCTCTTCTGTGGAGGAGAAGGTGGGAACCTCCGGATCGGATGCCGAACTTTCAGCTGCCTGCCCTGAGTCAGGGTTGGAATGGGCTAAGGCCGGGCTGGACTGTGGCACAGCCGCAATGAGGCC